CATAGGCACAGGATGCCGTTGCAATAGCAGCTGATGATGGGGTCATTATTATTAACGATGTGCACCGTACGTCAGCGTGTTGGAAAGACGCCCGGGCAATCGTGCGCCATGGCACAAACAGACAGCAGAGTGTCAGCGGTGGCGGGACAGACGCGTATGGTGCTACTACTACCACCAATATAACAAACGGCACAGGACAGCTGCTTCCACTCCCACTTCTACTCTTGCTCTTGCGCACAGCAGCGATGCGCCGGCCACTGACGAAGCCTGATGACAAGGTGAATCACAGCATCAAGCCCACCAACGCCATCAATTCCATTAAGAATGAAGAGAAGAAACGTCTCAATCATATACGCGACGGGGATGTCCAAGAAGTGGAGGGGGAGGCCGATGTGACAATGGCCACAACTACAAATACGAATGCTAACTCCGATAACAATCCTAATGGCAACATAGATAGCAGCAATACTGCTGCGGGTTCGCCTACGGCTGTCTCAGTCGCTGTTGCGTCGTGATCTAGGTTGGCGGAACAAATAAAGGGGGAAAAAAGCAAAAAATATGAAGAAAAACCCGATTCGGGCTGAGAAGTTGAAAAATTTAAAAAAAAACCGAAAAAATTCTTTGCTGTTCCTTCCTCTGTTTTGTCTTTCGTCCCGGTCTGTATTTCCATCTACCTGTCGACAATAGATTTTCTTCTTGCCTTCGTTGGATATCATTGTCGTCTCCATTTCTCGCCGTTAAGGAGGGTTGAGGGAAAGGAAAGGGTATTGTTTTCTGATGTAGCTCTGATCGCTTTCCTTCTTCCCCTAGGCAGTTTCGATCCCTACCGCTTGTATCACCTTCATTCCCTGTATTCATAATTTGTCATATTAACGATATGCCCTTCTGGGGTTTGGTTTTGTACAGGTGCAATGGGGTTTCTTATTAGTTTTTAATATTTTTTTCCGGTTTCTTCTTTTTCTCCGTCTTCTCAGCTGCTACACACCACACAGAAATGCAAAAAAAGGTACTCGAAGAGAGAGGCTGGCATTCTCCCTCGTTCATTTTTGTTTTTGCTAGATAAGAAAGGGTTTTCTTTTCAACTGTTGTTTAATTCAGCCTTTAAAGGTTACTTTCGGGTGGTTAGCTTACACAAAAATGTTTCTTCTTCTTTCTCCCTTTTTTAAACCGAAGCAAGTAAATGTTTGAAGATTATATATTGTGTGTTTTGTAAGTACCAGTTATTTTTGCAAAT